TTTAACTGGGTTCAATATTGGCCTCAAAATATTGTGGCTGAGACATGAGCCGATTAAACGTAGAAATAGGAAACCTAGAAATATAGTAAAAACGCTGAATAGTACTCCAGCGCTGCGACATGCGGGCGTTGGTACGAGTAGGTTAGTCTACAAACGTCGCCTAAAGTAATTGATTTTACCAAGCAGAACGAAAGAAGGAAACTCCGCTTTTCAGTTGTCTTAGGCGCAGGTTTTTTGACAAACAATGATCTTTCAGAGGTCAAATTGCTGTCAAGAATATGAATTGGCTGCTTCGCAGCAACAACAAATTTATGGACATATTTGCTAATATAATATTCATTGAAAACCTGTTCTGAGATTGAAAAAAAATTAGGGTTTGTAATTGTGATATTGTGCTGTAAATGCAAAATTTTAGGCCTAAAAATTGTGGTTTTTGTTTTTGTATATTCGAGGGAACAGATTAATTTGGTTACCTTGAAATGATCTCGAGGGAACCAAATATTGCCTCAAGATCATTTTGAGGGAACAAAACGATTTATTTCCAAATATTATACAGTATTTCATTCCCTCGAAATGATTTCGAGGGAACAAAATGATTTCTTTCCTTCAAAATATTATTTCCTTCTCTCGTAATATTATTTTGTTCCCTCGAAATATTATTTATTTTCCTCGAAATATTATCTGGTTCCCTTGAAATATTACTTGGTTCCTTCCAAATATTATTTGGTTCCCTTGAAATAATACTTTCTTCCTTCGATATAACATTTTGTTTCCTCGAAATAACATTTCATTCCCCCGAAATAACATTTCATTCCCCCGAAATAACATTTCGTTCTCTTGAAATAACATTTTGTATATGGTACGCCCACAGTTCCTTCGCTGTCAGCTGTTCGTTTGGCAAATAAGGATTTTGGCTGTGACGGTATCATTCGGTGGCAACTACAGCATATAATTATACAATAGAACCCCTCCTTTGGGACACACCTATTAAGGGGACACATTTCCGTGGAACGAGGAGCAATATATCTTTTAACACTATGGTCAACCCCTATTAAGCGGACACACCTATTAAGGGGACCGAGACACAGAAACTTTTTGAGTAATACACCAGAATTTTATCTCCTGAATCATTAGAGAACATCGGTATAGGCCTATGAGTATGACTGTCATACCCAGAGGGGTTCTACTCTATATATGTATATGCTGCAGTTGCCACCGAATGATACAGTCACAGACAAATACATTTTTTGCCGAACGAACAGCGAAACAGCTAGAGAGCATCTTAGCTCAGTCGGCTAATCTGGTGGTAGCCATTGTGTGTGCACTGAACCGTGGAGATTTCTAGGTCCCCGGTTCAATTCCCATCGCTGCCTCTCCTTGTGTTTCATCTGAAGGGCTGAAATACAAGTTACAATAGTGCACAGTCTTCCGGATGAGATGTCTAAGCTGTTGGTCCCATGTGCATTTATGGCTCATGTGCATGTTAAAGAACGCAGTACACTCTTCGGAAAAGAGTAGGGGATTGTCTCCCGGTGTACTGCCCAATCACCACCAGAAGGACCCCACTGGAAATAAGTCTTCTTCAGACTTTCGTGGGCTATTCTTGGTGTTTACACCGAATAAATCCAATCCAATCCAATCTGAAAGCCAAAGGCACTGTGGGCGTACCATGTACGAAACATTATTTCGAGGGAACAAAGTATTGTTTCGAGGTAATAAAATACTATTTCGAGGGAACAAAATATATTGAAGGAAGAAAATAATATTTTGAGGGAACGAGATATGATATAGAGGGAACGAAATAATATTTTGAGGGAATGAAATAATATTTCAAGGGAACGAAATAACATTTTGTTCCCTCAAAATAGTTTAATATTATTTTCTAACCATGTCCTTTTAGGGGATCCGTACATTTCTGGCCATAATACCAAGTAAAAAAAAATATTGTGTTTTTGGACACACCTGACCGATCCAAAAAGTATGAAATTAAGTTTGGCATTTTAGTTTTGTTTTTTTTTATTATTACAACGAAAATTTTTTTTTAATCAGCTAAAAAGGCTGGTGTTATGCAAAGACAGTGTTAGGTGATCGTTTTGCACTTCAATATCGATATAAACATGGTCTTTGTTATACTTTTGTATATTATCTATGTTTCAAGCATAAAGGCCTAAACTCATTATTTAAAGAAAAAACATTTCTAACGGCCTACCTATTTTTTGGATTTTGTCAACACAGGAATTTTTTTTTTTTTGGCCTTTATCATAAAATTTATATATACCCTCCTCCTCTATTTCAAATTCTTGGATACTCCATTGTATTGGATCCTACAATATTTTAAGCTTACTTTTAACTTGTACATTAACTACAAAAATACAGTATTACATGTATGTCATTTTCACTAGCTTTGCTCACTACAACATGATTCTTGAGCATCAAAATGCTCTGATTAGATTTACAAGGAGTGAATTTGCTTTTTTGTCTTGATAGGATAAAAAACAAAAATACTTCCTACTTCTTCTATCTTCATCTCAACTGTCTGGTGGTGATTGGGCAGTACACCGGAAAAAATCCCCTACTCTTTTCTCATCCACCCTTACAATTAAAATAAAGCAATCATTGGTGGATCCAAGAACTTAAAATAGAGGGACATTCACAGTTTGAGTGTCTTATACCACCTTAGCCCAACCATGTTGGGCTGAGGTACATAACAAATTGTATGCGTTACCGCAATCATGCCCGCAACTGGGATGCCAAAATATTTGTATAAGTGGAGTGAAGGGCCATGGAAAGACTAAAAAAAACTCAAACATTTTTATATCAGTCATCACATTAACAGGGCCATCATAACTGTTACTAAACCACTGTTTCAACCACTACTATCATTTCATACTCTGTAGTATGCCAACCATAACTCCTATAAAATTCTGTAATGATTTGTAATTTGCAGGATTATATCAAGATGGCTACTAGTGCCAGTGAGCTGAATCAGTTTCTGGAAAATGTTCATGAGATGGTCCTAGAGTGCACAATATGTTTGAAGAGATTTCAAAATCCTAAATCCCTCAATTGCCTCCATACATTCTGTTTGGCATGTCTTGAAGATTGGGTAAAGAAGGAGAAGGGTAAGCTAACGTGCCCAACCTGCTCAAAATCGTACCCTATTCCAGAAGATGGGCTTCAGAAGCTTCCACCAAATACCATTTTAAATAACTTAATAGAAACTATTGAAAAATTTTCAAAAACAGATCAGATGAAATGTGTTTGTGGAAAAGGACCGGCCAAATACTACTGCCAGGAATGCAGACATTACTTGTGTTGTACCCATAGTAAAGATCACAAAATAATGCCAATATCAGCAAGTCACAAGCTACATTCAGTGGAGGAAGTACAATCGATGAGCCCTTTACAGATTGCAGCGTTGCATCCTCCAATATGTTCTGTTCACAATGAGCCTTTAAAATTTTTCTGCTGCATATGCAATGTTCCAATATGCACAGACTGTGCAATTACTGACCACAATGCAGGGGATGGAAATCACAAACCAATCAGCATTTCTAAAGCATTCCAAGCATTTAAAGAAACTTCAGCAGCATTGGAAAAAGCTGCCAATGACTGCAAAGACAAGTTAGAAGATGGCCTCAAAGCAGTTAAACAGAATGTTAAAATATTAGAACAAAGCAAATATACAAGTTTGAGAGATATTGACAATCATGTGCAAGAAATGTGCAAGATGATGAAGAAAAAAGGAGACCAAATGAAAAATGAAGTAGAGACAATCTACAAAAAGAAAAAGAGGGTGTCAGATGTGCAAATACATGAACTAAAAACAACAATAAATGATATAACTACAAAACTATCTTTTCTTAATCAATTATTGAAGAGTGATGAAGCTACAGCAATGCAATCAAGTGAAGCAGTAATTACAGCGCTGAAAGGCACAACCAGAGAACTGCCAAAAACAGAGCCAAATGATGATGGATACATTAAATTCTTAATAAACAAACAGCAACTTGCTGCATTGCAAAAATTTAACATTGGAAATGTCACATTGGGGGCAGCAGAGTGTCTAACATTAAAGGCAGAGGAATCTGCGACCCAAGGTCAGACAATTGTTGTAAAAGTAATCAAAACAGAGGAATGTGAAATACGTGCAAATCAAATGAAGGCAACATGGACACATCCTACAGGAGAAACCAACATCACACAAGTTGAAAAGGATGACAATGGAGATTATTTTGTGATAGGCAAATGCAAACATCCAGGTTTTTGCAGACTAGATGTGAGTGCTGAAGGCAAACCAATTAAGCAGTCTCCATTGATGATCAAAGTACACAAGAAAGAATTAGTAAATACTATTGATATAAACATAGAACGTCCTGTAGGTGTAGTTAAGTATGAAGATGATTGCTTACTGGTTTCATGTAATACAAATGAAATACTCAAGTACAAGCAATCAGGAGAATATATTGGTAAGGTTGGATTGCCACAAGGTCTGAAAGTGTATAGACTGTTCAAAATGAAGAATGGTAACATAGCATTCAGTGATTCGGGTAACAGATGCATTAAAGTGTGTAATATGAGGGGTCAGGTAATGAAATCAATTGGTCAGGAATTATTGAGGGATCCAGCTGGTATCCATATGAATGTAGCATCAAATATTTATGTAGCAGATGGAAATTATTGTGTATTCATATTTGACATTTGTAGTGGCCAGGTGATGAAGAAGATTGGGTCAAAGGGCCACAAAGAAGGTCAATTAAGAGGTGTCATTGATGTGGCCCTTACAAATGAAGGACATCTTCTTGTATTGGAGTATTACAACAATAGATTACAGCTATTTGATAAGGAAGGAAGGTTCATGAAAGTCCTCGTTGAAGCAGTTGATGAAAATGGTAAATTGAAGAATCCATGTGGAGTAGTAGTTGATGAGGATGACAACATCATTATATCAAGTAATCACAAACTACAGCTATTCAGTAGTGATGGAAATTTCATTAAAAGAATTGATGAGCCAAAAGATGGAATTGAAAGTCCTAATGGATTATGCATCATTTCGTATCATCCAAGGCAAGTTGCAGTAGCAAATAGTGGTAACAATACAGTAAAAATATTAACTTATTAAAGTATTTGATGTCAGTCTGCTGCCCTCACTAGTTTTCCTTTGTTTTAAATAAAGAAGCTCACAGCACTCTTGTATGTATTCTTATTATTCAAAGAAGTCCTGGCTATTAGGCGCTATAAACCATGTTTAAATACTGGATTAAAAGCATCCAAAGAACTTGCAATTTTTAACTAGCCATTAACATCTAGTTTATTTATATTCATATTAACAGTGTTTACACTTTATCCAGATTGATTTTGTCCTGTTAACTCATTAATAATAATATGTCACACCTTGTTTGCCTTGATTGGTCAATTTTACAGGTTTCTCACTTTTGATTGGTTAGTTAAGTTACTTCAATTCTGGTATATGGTCCCTATGGACAAAATTATTTTTATAATATAAATATTGAATCATGGCTTCTCTTAGTCATTTTTGAGTCTACATGATATTATATTATCTAAATATAATCAGTGGACCACTTGGTCTTATAATGTAGTGTACATTAAATTACACACAAATCATGTATAAATTAGTTGTCTCAAAACTGCACAATTTATATTAAATTAAAGTATACTGTGTCACAAAAATTTAATCTCTCAATAAGTAACATATACTATTAATAAGCAAATATTGTTAGGTTTTGAGTACAATATAGGAAATAGCCTAGCAAAAGGAGACATTATTTCCTGAAAAAAAAAATCTTTAAGCCTGCAGACTAAAGGCATTTTTTTCTAAATTAAGTTTTTCTTATATTGTTTTTTTTTTGTGTTTGCTAAGTAATGAAAGAGAAAAACAATTCATTTAAAGGTACAGTAGTTTGATATGTTCTAGGATTGCAGAGTTAATAAAAAATTATCTCAATTATCATCACCAAGGATGCTTCTTGATCCAGCATCATTTTTCAGTGTGAATGATAGTTATAGGTTAATAATTTATCATTTCCATGGCTTTTGTAATAAACATTTATCATAAATATTATTTACATAGGACTACTACATTAGCCTATTTTTTGTAGTTTAAAATCAATGACATTGGATTTTCTTTTACTAGGGTAAGAGCTAATCATTGAATATTTAGTAGATGACTATTGTAGCTGTCAGTACCGTAATTGATATTAACTGTGTATAACATGGTAACTGTTTAAGTAATGATCAGAAATACCTCCATGTTTGCTAATTGTATTTTGTTTAGCATGGATTATTAGCGTAGTAGATCTGATGATTCTATAATTTAGATTTTGATGAGGTAACAATTGGTCAATACCTTTTACTGGTTTGCACTTTTCTGAGTAATCGTCATATATTCATATCAACTATGAATATCTATCATCATCTTCAATCAGCAGTGGAGGTGTATTAACATACCAAAATTACTATCATGTGTTTATATATTATCTAATGATTGTACACTACAGTAAAATAAGTATATATACCTTTGGGTTATTTTTAATTTTAGTAGTATTTATATTTTCATAATTTGACTAGCTGTTAAGCAATTATAATTGTTATTTACTTTATCATTAGCCTGCTGTAAATAACTTCTTAAAATGAACAAATTCTTTAAATGTTACTTAAATGTTGAAAAGGGAATACTCCATCATATTTATCAAAATAATTGTTAATGAAAGTAAACATAATTAATTCATATTGGTCAAAGAAATAATACTGTAATTTCAAGTGATATGTCAAGTCATGAGATAAAAGAGAATTTATTTAATGATCTATCAAACTAAATTAAATATCTACCCAAAAGTATTAAAACTGACATCAAGCTTCAAAAACATTATTTTAACCATAAATTTTATCAAGTCTTCTTTACCTTAAAAGACAATTTACTTTTAAATTTTCTTTATACTATAAATACAATTCTTCTAATTTATATTCTTTAATTGTTAGAAAAAAAAAATTAAAATTAAAGTAAAAGTATGAAACGATAAATTAGCAAACAAGGAATTATTGTATTAGAAAAACAAATAGAAATCAGTATTTCAATATCATTATATAATCTCATCAATTTAGTATGTACATTATTTGAATGTTTTTTTTGTGGTTATTATAATATAATCAATTGTGTGAGTTTTGTATATCAATATTAGTAGGTTATGGCATTTTAAGTTGAACAGTTGATGCAATTCAATGTTTTTATACTGCTTTGTCAATGTGTTTTATGAATACCACAAATGAATTAATGATAAATGGTTGTCTAAGGCAATGACAGGAAGATAAACACTGAGGCATTGTACCTTTTGACACATCAAATCAAGTCAGCATTTTTGACAGATGTATCATAAGCTGGTTGATTCCAAAAAAAAAGGAATGTGATAATCATGCTAATAATGTACAATTACAATTACAGTTTGGTTATGATGGAATTACATCATTTTAACAGTTTATGATGTGCTGTGACAAATAAAATATATATTCTCTTGTACATAATTCCTATTATATTGTGAGGTTTTTGAAATATACTCTTTATACATACACTGCAATATAACAACAATGAGCATGGCATGAAATATCAGTGTCACAAGGCAAACAAAATTGAAAAGAAACTTTTCAAAGCAGTCACTAGAATCAATACTGAAAAGTGGGGGTCTTGCTTATGGCAATTTGATAAAGATGGGTTATACTATGAAATGTGAAGGTTTAACTATATAATCAGAGGATCCACTAATTAGTCTTAAATAAAACAAAAAGACAGTAACTCTGAAAAGAGACAGAAACAATTTGAGATTCAAAATGTCTCTGTCTCTTTTTGGAGTTACTGATTTTGTTTGTATTTTTAACTAATTAATGGCAAAGCTAGTTTTAAATATATGAAATAATCTACCATATTTGTTTACAGTACCTATACATCTTTTGTAGAAGACTGTGTTATAGTTAATGAAATGGCACAAACAAGTTATTTGAAAAATTTATGGAAAAAAAAAACAATGAGAGTAACATTGATACATTAAGTAGGCCTACTATGATTAATCGCTTGAAGGTCAATCTTAACTTATTAATGGTGAAGCCACTTTTTGTGCCTACTGCCCCCAACTGGGGCGTGCCGCAGACTCTATGTCATGATATAGCAATTAAAGATGGCGGAAAATGGTAAATCCGGTTTAGGCATGATGGGTACTACTACCACAAGGTGGGTAGTAGGCGCTCTATTGACAATCGAATAGCGTTCGGAACTCAAGCAAAATTGCGTTCGAAACTTGAACAAGTGTTATAAAGACACAGCACATGTTTGCCATGAACACCTTTTACCGTCATTTGAAGGATGCCCTCTAGAATATGTTAATTCTCTTCGTGATCAATGACATAACGTGGTAACTCCAAGAGTTACTTATTTTTAAAGTGTTTTTAGTGTAATATAGTAGTAGTAACTCCATACAGAATATTGTTATGAAAGAAAATTTTCATGAAAATTTCCAGATACACTATAATACACACATCTGCATATTGAAGAACATAAGATAAAAAAAAGAAAATTATTGTCAGCAGGATACAATTAAATATTGATGAAGTGGGACATACACTAAAAGCCAATGTAAATATTTTCTATATGCTAAATTTCTAATACCTTTCTATGGACCGTTAGAAATCTTGAACAAAATAATACCTGAATAGACACATCCTTATGGGCCAAGTCCTGTCTTCCTCCATTTTGATCTTTATATCATGTTATAAACGCATAGCTTTCTCCTGAATATCTTAACTGACAAAATGCGACAACTTGTTGCAGCATCCAAGGTACAAGGTTCAGCTTCACTGTCAAGGATGTTGTGAAACTACAAGTGAAAAACAAATATGTAATGATTTTGTGGAGACAATGAAAATATATAATTAAAATTTGTTTGGTACGATTGTGAGCTGAGTATTAATGATTAGTAGTCTTCCACAAGAAATTGTTTGTGCTTTGTCAGTATTGGGTGTGAAAAGAGATGGTCTGTCCACCATTTAAATTTTAGGAAAGATTTCTCGCTGATAAAAAAAATGAATACTACTGGGTAAAGTACATATGACTTTTATCGTCATAAATATAATTAAATCAAAAGTAAATACTTTGTAAGACGAAAACACCAAAAAATAGCTTTCGTTTAAGTCTAGGTGGATTGGCACGTGGATTGGCAAATCAATCCCATAGGGAAAACTGTGTCGCATCTGAGTTGCTACACTCTACACACACACACACCGTTAAGTACAGAGCCTGAAAGTATTGCACACGATGGGCTAAATTTGGGCGCTGACAGTAACTTTTCCTATGGGTTTGCACAAAATTTGAAACTAAATATTATCTACTTTCGAAAGACACTAAATTCAATCAGCTTCTCTAATATTTGGAATAAGCACTTTTGAACTGAAAAAATGCATGCTGTTTCTTGTAGAATAGGAAATGGGCATGATTTGTGTCGACTTAGAAGTATTCACTTCGCTAAATCAAACCTTAGACATAAAAATTTAGTATATTAAATACCCTTTCTTATAATTATAATAATAGGTCGTAATTACGCACTTTTGCTTCTAAAAACGTGTATTTTTCACAGTATTTCCCAAGTAGATGGGTGAAGCCAAAGTCGGTTCCGGATTACCATTTTAGGACACATGCATTCAATAAGAGGGAAGAATGTTATATTCCTAAGATTTTTTTTGGAAAAAAAAATGCAGAAATCTTATTGCAACATCAAAAAGTGTGACTGTATTTTACATTTACTTTTCATATGTTAGTACTTTGTTGACCGCCTAGTAATCGGTCACTTTGTAGGTTTATGGTGTGTGAACTGTATATCTTAATAATGGAACATAAAAGCATGGATTTAACAACTAAGGCAAAGGCTTCCGAAAGCATTGAATCAGATGATGATCCAGTCGAAGTCATCAATGATGGAGAGCGGGAAGCGAGCAACTAGGTAAGCTATCAGAACAACTAAATAGTAAACTGGATAAGGTACTCGAAAACCAAAAAAACTACAACAAAAGACTTACCAAATTGGAAAAAACTGTCAAAGATTTAGAAAAATCAGTGAAATATGCGCATGATTCTGCAAATGAAACAAAGGGTGAGATTACTCAAATTGGAAAAGAAATCAAGAAAGTGGAGGAGTATGAAAACAAAATGGCGGCTTGTCAACACAAAATGACAGAAATGGAAAATGCAATCCTAAAATAAGAACGGTATAGCAGAAGTTTTAATCTGAGGTTTGGCGGTATTAAAGAATATCATACAGAAAACACACATGATATATTACAAACGGGAGACAAACCAAGGCACATCGTAGCCAAATTTCTGTACCGTCCACAGAGGAACGAAGCCCTAAAACAAGGAAAAATGAAATTAAATAATAACAAATCGTCATACATATTCGTTACGGAACACCTACCTGATGCAGACATGAAGAAAAAGAGAGAACTGTCTACAATTATGGTGCAGGTCATCTTTAAAAGCAGAAACATGTTTATAGATATGACCAGTCTGGAACTGGTAATTAACGGGTTCATCATAGAAAATGTATCAGAAATAAGATTTCTTGGAGTTTGGTTAGATCAATCACTTACATTCAAAACCCATATTAACACGGTAGAAGTTAAAATTTCAAAGGCAATTGGAACGAATAACAGATTGAAACACTTCTTCCCAAAAAAATTACTTTTAACAATTTATAATGCCCTAGTATTACCAAATTTAAATTATGCAATTTCTGTGTTGCGCTCAGCTAGTTGAACAGAATTAAACAAATTACATTTTCTCAAAAAAAAAAAAAACCAAAAAAACAATGAGAATTGTGTGTAAAGTTGATTATTTTCATCATACATATTTAAAGAAAATAACTTGCTTCATATTCATGATCTATATGTAAAGCAACTCTTAATTTTTATGTTTAAACTCCAAAAAAAAACAAATTCCAAAAGTTTTTAATAATTTACTTCAAAAGGTAGAAAACACCCATAATTATCAAACAAAAAAAAAATTTGATTACCAAATACCTACAGAAGAATTATTGTAGGACAGCAAAGTGTAGTATACAGAGGTAGTACAACATGGAATAGTTTACCTGACTACATCAAACAAAGCAATAAAATTGGAGTTTTTAAAAAATGTACGCCTACTTAATCAATAAATATGTAACATGATAATGTGATCTTATAATAATAATAATAATAATAATAATAATAATAGTGACCAATATTAACACTATACTCATCTAATTACTGATTACTTGAATTAATATTATTGTTATTATCATTATCTGTATTTTTTTAAATTCATTTTTATTACTTATTTAATTGTTATTTCTTTATATGAATGATTATCTAGAAAATATGTATGTGCATATTTCAGACAGGTCATGTGCTTTAAATCTATGCTTACTACCTGACCCTTTTCATGTTATTATTTCTAATTATGTTTCACTGTAAACACAACATTCATTAAGATGTTATTACTATGTGAATTGAATATTTTAAAGAAAGTGGATCTTTAAATTAAAAATTAAAAATTGTCAATATGTAGAGCTTAAATTATCTTGTTTTGACTGAACTTATCTAAAGTGTGTTTGCACTGCAATTCAATGTTTGTACAAAAGCCTAAACACAAAGCATTCAGTATCATATATTTTACACTGTGCACCTTTGCACTGAACCACATGACAAATTTAACCAATGAAAATCAGCCTGGGATTTGGGCATGACTAATAAACACAACCCTGGAGAACATTCTTCCTTTTGGTAGTCTCATCATGTGTAGTCTCATCAAGCCTGATCATACACAATTACTTCATCTTCTAACGTACGCGTCAACCTTACAACAGTAAGTACAGTAGTAATTAAGATAAAATAATGCATAAAGGACTATCGTAGATGAACCCTGTATAGCATACACTGCGAATTCCACTGTGAAAGAAGCTGTAAATCTTCATTATTTAATTTATTACTTTAATTTATTATACAACTTGTCACAGAGAATATCATTATCCCCATACTATACTGAATACAACCTACAACTCTATATTCAAATGAGAATCTAGTCCATAAGTGAACAGGTAACAGAAGAATTACAGTATGGTAATAATAGACCTAATATTAATTATATTAATTAATATTCTAATATTCATAGTACTGTAAAAACATAAAACATATGGTTGGTAGAGTTAATATGTACAACTTGTGATCCAGACACTTGGTCAGATACTGTGTTCACAATATAACAACACAAATGCTAAAGGTGTCTTTGTCATTTTAATATTATCATATAGTAATGTTCAGTATTATTTAATGTTTGAATTACCAGTGGAATATACAAAATCCATTTATAAAATAATTTGCATGATGAAAGCCAGTCACACTTGATTAAACACAATAAATCGGTCACCCTATACCAGGCCACATGACTTCAAATCAGGAAAATTTTGAATTTTTTTTAAAAGAAATTATTAAAAATTTTTTTTTTAAATTAAATAGTTATATTGTTTATATTATCTTAATCATGTTTTACTTTGAATATCAATGCACAAGCAACAAAGCCAAGGGCGATATTGGCTTCAGCAAAATAAAAAATAATTTTAAAAAAAAGCCTCCATCCAACATCAATTTTCCAGCCTAGATAGGGCCTATATCAAATTATGGAGGAATGCAAAATATTAATATGATGCTTTTAATTAAAAATTAAGAATGAATTTTTAATTTATGTTACTGGTATAGAAAAAAAAGAGTGAAAAATAATTGTATAATGATGCTTTTAATTATAAATTTGAGATATTTGGAATTTAATGAAACATTTACACCAGCTTTAAAAGTATGGTATATTTCAACTTGAATTTCCATAAATTGGAAAACTTGATAATTATAATTTTAACAGATGTTAATTAAGGAATGATTTAAGATTATAATAAACTAAGTCATTTTAGGGTTAACGAGGGCTAACTATTAGAAAATTCAATCCAAAATCAGAGTGATTTTCAGTTTTACGCTGCCTTAGCTTTATAGTGGAACAAATCTATCTTTAGACAAAATTATAATGAATACAGAAGTAATTGTAACAGAAATATTTTGTGGAATCTGTTTCTGAAATATACACATAACAACATACTGAAAGTTCAAAAAATCCAATCAGGGGATAGGAATATTGTTAATATAAAGACACTTAATGAGTTAAAATCAAATGGGTTATCGCACAACTGCTGTGTTGAAGCGTATACACGCATGTCGTTGCCAAGTTGTTGGTAACAAAAAAATGTGAATAATAAGATAATACGCCCGTGTGTGATCCAAAGATGGGGAACACATTGTTTTGTCGCGTCAAAGGGATCTGTTGCCTAGTGATCTCCTTCTCAATTAATACCACCATGGCCTCACATAAGTCAGTGTGTCACAATGCGTGGCAAAAAAAATTTAAAGTGTAACTAGACTTGGGACCCCTGATAGTACATTTTTTTCCACATAGAATAGATATTGTTAAGAATGTTCGCTCTTGAACACTAAAGGGTGCTGTTAATTTTAATTTTAACATTTATTTCTAATTAATACTTATGATATTTTAACTACCAGTTATGAAAATACTTTTTAATGATTTATAATTTTAGGATTATTCCAAGATGGCTACTGGTACTAGCGAACTAGATCACTTTCTGGAAAATGTTGACGAGATGGTCCTAGAGTGTACCATATGCTTGAAGAGACTTAATAATCCTAAATCCCTCAACTGCCTCCATACATTCTGTTTGGCATGTCTGGAAGACTGGGTAAAGAAGGAGAAGGGTAAGCTGACTTGCCCAACTTGCTCGAAATCATATCCCATTCCAGAGGGCGGGCTTCAAAAGCTTCCACCAAATACCATTTTAAATAACTTAATAGAAACTATTGAACAATTTTCGAAAACAGATCAGATGAAATGTGTTTGTAGAAAAGGACAGGCAAAATACTACTGCCAAGAATGCAGACATTACTTGTGCTCTACCCATAGTGAAGATCACAAAGTATTGCCAGTGTTAGCAAACCACAAGCTACATTCAGTCGAGAAAGTGCGATCAATGAGCCCTTTACAGATTGCAGTGTTACATCCTCCGCTGTGTTCTCTTCACAAAGAGCCTTTACAATTTTTCTGCTGCATATGCAATATTCCAATATGCATGCATTGTGCAATTACTGACCACAGTGCAGGGGAAGAAAATCACAAACCAATCAGCATTTCTAAAGCATTCCAAACATTTAAAGACACTTCAGCAACATTGGAGAAAGCTGCCAATGACTGCAAAGACAAATTACAAGATGGCCTCAAAGCAGTTAAACAAAGTGCTACAAAATTAAAACAAAATAAAGATACAAGTTTGAGAGATATTGACAATCATGTGCAAGAAATGTGCAAGATAATGAAGATAAAAGGAGACCAAATGAAAAATGAAGTAGAGACAATCTACAAAAAGAAAAAGAGGGTGTTAGATGTGCAAATACACAAACTGAAAACAACAATAAATGATATAACTACAAAACTGTCTTTTCTCAATCAATTATTGAAGAGTGATGAAGCTACAGCAATGCAATCCAGTGAAACAGTAATTACAGCACTGAAAGACAAAATGAATAAAGTGCCAAAAAGACAGCCAAATGAAAATGGATACATTAAATTCCTTAAAAATGAGCATCAAAGTGCTTCATTACAACAATGTGACATCGGGGATATACTACATAAGGAAGCAAACTGTTTATCATTAATGGGAGAGGAATTTGTGAACGAAGATCAGAACATTTTTATCAAAATAATAAAAACAGACGAATGTGAAATGCATGCAGATCAACTGAAGGCAACATGGACACACCCTACAGGAGAAACCAACATCATACAAGTTGAAGAAAATGACAATGGAGATTATTTTGTGACACAAAATGTCACGTTTCCAGGTGTTTGTAAGCTTGATGTGAGTGCTGGTGGTGAACCAATCAAGCAGTCACCAATGCTGATCAAAGTACAGAAGATAGGATTAGTAAATACCATTCAAATAGACAAAAATATTTATGATTTAGCTAAGTGTGAAGATGATTCCTTGTTGGTTTCATGTTTGACAAATGAAATACACAAGTACAAGCAATCAGGAGAATATATTGGTAAGATTACACTACCAAACGATGTCCGAGTTTACAGAATGTACAAAATGAAGAATGGTAACATAGCATTCAGCGACTATAATGTTTGTATCAGAATATGCAACATGAATGGTCAGGTGATCAAATCAATTGGTCAGGGAGTACTGGGATATCCACAAGGTACATATGTAGATGAAGCATCAAATGTTATGTATGCAGCAGAATGGATTCCACATGGCTCTGTCTCTATGTTTGACATTGATAGTGGAAAGCTGATCAGGAAGATAGGTTCAGGAGAAGAAGGAAATATGTATAATGTCTGTGATATGACCCTTACAAAACAAGGGGATATTCTTGTATTAGATGACAGCGGATTAAAATTATTTGATAATGGGGGAAGGTTCATGAAAGTCCTTGTTAAAGAGGGTGATGAGGATGGTGAACTGTTTTGTCCACGTGGAATAGTAGTTGATGAGGATGACAACATCATTGTATCAAGTGAAAACAAACTACAGCTATTCAGTAGTGATGGAAATTTCATTAAAAGAATTGATGAAGAAGAAGATGGAATTAATTTTCCCTGGGGATTATCCATCATTTCATATCATCCACGAAGAGTTGCTGTAGCAAATAATGTTGAATATCGCAATCAGAATATAAAAATATTTAATTATTAAAGTCAGGCTCTGGAGAAAAAAAAATGTTGATATGTTGTTGAACTGATTTTTCTAAGACAGCAAAAAGTTGGGGAACGGTGAATGAGATATTGATTTCTTAATTTTTTTAAACTGGGGGAAAAGGGGCGTAACCGCCATTTTACACCTTTTTCCCCTAGTTTTTAAATATTAAAAAATCTGTATCTCATTCACCGTTCCCCACTTTTTTATCAAACAACTTTTTTCTGTCTTAGAAATATCAGTTCTACAACATATCAAAACAGTCATTTGAGTCTGACCTTAAAAGTTTGAAAAGGTCAGCTCTGTTGGATGGATTATTTAGTAAAATTTTGCTGCAATCAATTATATAAAATATTAACATACCAAATAATTTCTTTAGTAATAAAATACTAATACAGTAGCCAAATCTCAATCACACTAAGTTGTTAATTTTAATTTTAGTAGTTACAGATTTTTGATATGAAGTTATATATAGTATCTATTAGTGATTTTAGTTTGTGGTCTTGATTAGGCATACTAAACAGATGTGCAGGATTTCCCCTTTTTTCCTAATTCTATTTGTGCCCTCTATTCCATAGGTTTTCTTAAGCTTTGTCTACACTATCAAATTTTATCAACAAAGCGTCACATAAAATGTGATGGAAAATAAGAGTTGAACATGTTCAGCTTCTTTTGATACAATTTGATAATATGTGATATGACGTCATTGTGCCCATATATGGGCACATCACATTTTTTGTGGTAAATTGGGCAGTATTGTATTCTTTACATGCACATGGGTAATATACATAGGACCAATGGCTTAAACATTTTTGATAATAAGTATGTACTATTTTTAAAAGCATCTTTACTATTTTATTTGCCTTTATTATTCATTACATTTGTGTGTAATAGCACTCTGAGAAATGATTATACAGCACTGAATTAAAAACATTATCATAAAATCAATAATTGTTGCTGAGAAATAAGTATTAAAATTTATATCAAACAATGAAAAAAGTTATAGGAGTACAAAACAGTGAGAAGTAAGTGATTAGATATGTTTCAACTACTAATAAAATACTCTTAAAATTACTGTTTGTTTATGATGGAATTATATCATTATACTGCTTATCATGATGTTGTGAACTAAAATATGTACTACAGCATACACAGTATATGAGGCATGTCGTGGCGAAATGGTTAAGTTTTCGCACAGGCCAGTATTGAGTAAATGAGCTATAAAATATGGGAGCTCAAAAAATTGCCTAAGAATTCAATTTTTTTTTTCACTATAGATCAACAGTTTAATGTCTTATTAATCATGTCCCAAAGTATTAATTCTGGAAGTGGTCAACAAATTGTTTATTTAATGTTATTTAGATAGTTAATTCTATTAAACAATGTATGAACAAATAACTTTGGAAGGCAATTACTCAAAATCATGTTTATCTTGAGTGCCGTATTTTCACTTTTCAATAACTTAGGCTTGAAAAGTCCAATTTTAATGAATGACCCCTCATTTTAAAGATAACATACTCAGGTATATGAAAATACCAATAACTTGAATTTCAAATTTTGCTACAACTTAGCCATTTTGCCACAACATGCCTCATATGAGTTGGTAGTTAATAATTCCAATTAACAAATTTCCTCAAGTCATGCTTGACTTCACACAAAAAAATATGCTAAGTCACATGATCAAAATGAAACCTAAAAATAACTTTTGGAAAATAACCAGGTTTCCTGTTTGTTTCATGAATTGTTAGCTCAGAGAACAAAATACGTGTCAATGAAGAGAACTGAATTCTTGGTCGTCTTTATTGATTGCAAGAGCCATTTTTTCTTCCTTAAAAATTATTTGTAATTCAAAATTCTTTTTTACTAAACCAGAATAATATTATATGCACTTGTGGTTTAGTTAAAAAGAATTTTGATTTACAATATTATTATATAACAATTTATGTTCTTAAATCTATTAAATCTCTAAAAGTTACTTGAAATTATTTATTTTTTTTACTTTAATCTCAGTGTTTTCTTTCCAGTTGTAATTATTTTGTAGTTCTAAATAATACTTGTATTTATGAGGAAAAATTGTAAAAAATGCAAAAATTTGGAGAAAAATTCTGGCAATTCAAATAAAGAGTTTAGAACTTAAATAGATGAGAGAAGAGTGCCATCAGCATTCAGACCCTGACTTCACTTTAATATAACCGTTTTCTTTTCTGTTGTAATTATTGTGTTGTTCTAATTTATGAGGAAAAAATAAAAACCAATTTAATAGCTATAATAAAATTCTGGAGATTAAAATAATGATTTAAAACTTAATAGAGGAGAGGAGAGTATTATCAACATTTGGATCCTCCCAAAATCTGCAGACTTGGAAGATGTCCACAATTTAACATTGAACTTTACAGCACATCTAGATGTACATATGACTAATTTCCTCAAGTTGCATTGCATTCGAAATAAACCTAGCCTATGCCAAGTCACATTAATGTGAAGATAAAACCTGGAATAAAAACTACATTTCTGTTAGAGACACCTCACATATTGTACAATCACCTCAGCAGAGAAATTTAAAGGTATTGTATAGCATTTGATTGATTTTGTTAAATAGTCATTTAATTATACAATTTTTATTCACTAATCAATTTTTCATGTAACCATACTCCAGTGTATAGAATTGTATGGAATGACTGCAGTATATTAATTTCTTAAAAGCATGATAAATTATATACTGGACACTAGGGGTGGGTATAAAAATAGGTTGGGGGGGGGGCAAAGTGAATTTTTCGATTCAACACTGAAGGCTGCATCCATTTCAAGAGCCTGCCTGCACTGCTTCTATACCGCCTTTGATTTGCCTCAGGAAGACAGAACTGTTATTTTCAGATGAAGAAGGAAGATGGCAAAGAGGAATACAATGGGTTACGTGATGGACAACTTGATGAAAAATAAGGAAAAATTTAACAAAAACGTTTAAAAAACTAAAATACTCTTTAATAAGGAACCAATAAATGTTTCAAATCAAAAATATAATTTGGCCCTTCTGACTCATTTTATGCCCACCAAAGTTTTACACAGGTGCCTTCTCAAGCAATGTAATAATGTGTTACTTAATTCTGATCATGGGTAGAGTAGCCTGCAATTTACCCACAGGAAATCAGTCCCACATCCTCAAACTGCCCTAGCAGGCAAAGCCAACATGTACTGCCCATGGTTAAGATGAAAGCACAAAACACTGCCTAGTTCATTGTGCCTGAAATGCCCTCAGCATGCGTTCTGAAATAAGTGTACAGTATTGTCTGTTAATGCAAGTAATACGAGATGGTACAGATAGTATAATTTTTGTTCGTACAAAATATTATACTTAGTAACCTAGTGATTTTTTAAATGTTTTTAAATTTATTAAGTTATTTAACAATATTAAGTATGAATGTCAGCCACTGCATTGCTTTACTATTAATCATAATTATCTGTGTTCTCTACAGCCCACTGATATTATATTTTTATATTTTCATTTACAGAATTTTTTCAAGATGGCTACCAGTAAGCTGAATCAATTTCTAGAACATGTTGATGAGAAGGTCTTGGAGTGCACCATCTGCTTTAAGAGACTTCAGAATCCTAAATCTCTCAGTTGCCTCCATAGTTTCTGTTTGGCATGTCTGGAAGATTGGGTTATGGAGGAGGGTAAGCTGACTTGCCCAACTTGCTTAAAATCATATCCCATTCCAGAGGGCGGGCTTCAGAAGCTTCCACCAAATACCTTTCTAAATAACCTATTAGAAACTATTGAACAATTTTCAGAAAGGGACCAGATCAAATGTGTTTGTGAAAATGAAGGACAGCCAGAATATTACTGCCAGGATTGCAGAAAGCACTTGTGCTCTACTTGTAGTGACCATCATAAAATATTGCCAATGTCGGAAAATCACAAGCTACATTCAGTTGAGGATATGCAATCAATGACGCCTTTACAGATTGCAGCGTTACATCCTCCGATGTGTTCCATTCACGATGAGCCTTTAAGCCTTTTCTGCTGCAATATTCCAATATGCATGCATTGCACAATTACTGTCCACAATGCTTGGGAAGGAAATCACAAACCAATCAGCATTTCTAAAGCATATGAATCATCAAAAAAAACATTGGAATCTTTGAAGAAATCTACCCATCACTGTAAAAGCATTTTATATGAGGGTCTCATAGCAATTATTGAAAATTCTAAGAACTTAGATGAAAGTACAGATAAAGGTTTGAGAGATATTGATGAACATGTGCAAACAATGATCAATCAAGTCAAGAAAAATGGAGAAAAAATGAAAAATGAATTACAGATGCTATACAAAAAGAAAAAGAAAATAAATTATACACAAAAGGATGAATTGACAACAAAAATATCGGATATAGATACAAAACTGGGTTTTCTTAATCAGTTATTGAAGAGTGATAAAGTTACAGTAATTCAATCAAGTGAAACAGTAATTACAGCACTGAATGAGAGAATAAATGAATTGCCAAAAACAGAGCCAAATGATAATGGTCAAATCTACTTCTTTAAAAATAAAAGTCAACTTGCTTCATTGCAACTAAGTGTTATGGGATATGTATCACACATGAGGGCAGCAGACTATCTGACATTAAAGGGACCGATATCAGTGACCCAAGGTCAAACAATAACTGTCTATGTAATCAAAACAGATGAATGTGAAATACATGAAAATCAACTGAAGGCAAAGTGGACACAGCCTACAGGAGAAACCAATATTGCTGAAGTTCAAGAATGCTCGTATGGCAATGGGAAGTTCTTTGTTACAGGAAAATGCACAAGTCCAGGATTTTGTAAAATCTATGTGACAGCTGATGGTGAGCAAATCAAGAAATCACCAATGATAATCAAAGTAGAGAAAGTAGGATTAGTAAAAACCATTGATATATACAATCTATTAATCTATCCACATGGCACAAAATATCAAAGACATATGAATGTAAACTATAATCAGAAAGATGATTGCTTGCTGGTTTCATGTGGTACAAATGAAATACTCAAGTACAAGCAATCAGGAGCATATATTGGTAAGGTTACACTACCAAAAGGTATGAGAGTTAACAGAATGTACATAATGAAGAATGGTAACATAGCATTTAGCGATTTCAATAATAAATGCATCATGGTATGTGATAACAATGGTCAGGTGATTAAGTCAATTGGTCAGGGGATATTAACAGAGCCAGCAGGTATCTATGTGGATGAGGCCTCAAAACTTGTCTATGTAGCAGATGAGGTTGGTGGCTTGTTCATGTTTGACTTTGTTAGCGGCCAGATGATCAGGAAGATAGGGCCAAAAAACAGACTTTTATTAAAGATGAATGGAGTCACTGATGTTACTCTTACAAATCAAGGAAATCTTCTTGCATTGGAGTTTGCTGAACCACACAGATTGCAACTATTTGATAATGAGGGAAGGTTCATAAAAGTCCTTGTTGAAGCAGGTTATGAGAATGGTGAGGTGAGGAATCCACGTAGAATAGTAGTTGATTTGGATGACAACATCATTATATTAAGCAAACACAAACTACAACTATTAAGTGACAATGGAAGTTTCATCAAAAGAATTGATAAACAAGAAGATGGAATTAATGGACCAATGGGATTATGCATAATTTCATATTGTCCACGGAGAGTTGCAGTAGCAAATTCTGAAGCCAAATTTAATCCTATACAAATATTCAACTATTAGCATGCTGTCCCAACTTGCACTTTTTTTTATTGCTTTTTAGTAAAACTTGAATCACCTAATAATAAATTAGGTATATATATATATATATATATTATGAATGTATTAATAAAACCATATTTTGCAGGAAATAGTGATAGGAAAACCATACTCAATAAAGTCTAGTTAGTCCTGCCCTGTTTTGTATTGTGTTTTTAGTACAACATATTTCACTTTATATTTAATTAGGAGTACATTATGAATACCTACAAACAAATCATGAAGAATTTAGACAAACACAAACTTAAAAATTATTATTAATCATATCATAAAGATGATCTACTCTGTTGGATAAACAAGCATTAATCTTAATTAACATTACATTAATCTTAATAGTTTTCTGACACCTTAACTTATTAGGCCAAAAAAAAATTGTTTGTTTGCTCTCCCCATCTGCCTCTAATTCACTGGAAAAAATAGGGGCGGAAAAACAAAAAAACTTGATTTTTTTTTAGCTTTTTTTAAAACAAATTTTAAAAAATGTGAGTGAATTTATCTTTATTTTTTGCCAGATGCCCTACAAATTAGTCTAAAGGTGCTGTCTGATGTAAGATATTGCCATTCTAAGCCTCTGTGAGTTATTTTTATTCCATCTGAAGAGTATTTTATAAAAAAATATAAATAAAAAAATTAAACAAAATTCCTATTTATCATTTTTAAAAAAAGAAGGGCAAACAATCAATTTATTTTTTTTTTGGCCTTAGTTTCAGTATTTACAGAATTTGAGTTTTATAAGTGTTTTCTTTAGTTAGTCTTTGTGCTAGTGATTGCATGTAGTCTTTATTGAATATATGACAAACCTGTTTTTATATTCTATTTTGAAACCTTCTTCCAGAAGAGTTAAGTGGTTGTAAATAATAAGAGAAGTGATTCTACTCATACGTTCTAGATTATTGTACAGTTAATAGATAAGAAATAAAAATACCACAATTATCATCTCTACGGATGATTGTTGATCATCCATTACTTAAAATGTATTTTAAAAGCGTATCTAACCACCAATGTGGATTTGTTTTTAATTGATATTTGTCTGTTCTTTTGTTACTAGATTTTTCAAACTCTTGGGATACCAATACTAAAATATGGAAAGATTTTTCAGTATATATCAATTTAAATAAAAAGTAAATACAATGAAAGGCAAAAAGACCAAAAAATAGCTTTCGCTTGTCTAGTTTTGGCCTTAGAAATCATAAATTGAAAAGAAAATTTCCATAATAAACGGAAGAAATTAAAAATAATTACAACAATAACGATTTATCTTGAGCACATATCAACTTTAGAAAGTACTTGAGGTTCTAGTAACGAGAAAATGGAAATTGAATACTAAGAAATTAGCCCTTGGGATGTTCTAAATTATCCATGGAAAAATATAGCAGAAGCAGCAATAAGGGGATTGGCTGTTTCAGAGGTGTATTTCACCTGTTAGCCTTTTTCTTCATTGGCAATGTTTTTATATGATGTTTTTATGAAGTTACCAAGAGAGTTTGAATAAGAAAAAAAATACTACAGCTTTGTTTACCAGCATTTGAAGCCCTCAATGAGGGTGATAGTTGATTTGATCCAGTAATATTCTGCTTTGCAGCATGCAGTATTGTGGATGTTTATTGTGAGCCTTTTGTTTAACAATTTATACACATTTGCTACACATGTCGAAGTGTTTAAGTGATATATACGGTAATAAGACAAACAATAATGTATCATACCTTGCGAGATATCAGCATGCTTGATAGATGGAGCGTAAGCTGGTTCATTCTGGAAAAAAAAGGAATATGACTATCATGCTAATAAAATACTCCTAAAATTACTTATTTGTTTTGTTTTATTTATTTTCCATTTATAACATTCTAGATCATACAATGACAGAAACAATTTGCTTTTCTACAAACGGAAGGAGGCCTAAATAGGTCCAAAGTCACTTACGGCTAGGCAACCGATAAAACTACATAAAGCTATCCTATTAAATTTGAAAGACCATACTGGAGATTTGGCAATTATCAAACTATCAAATTATAGTCAGGCTCCTAAAGGAAAAAATTGATATGCTGTACAAATGAATTTTTTTGGGGGAAAAAGAACTATAACCCACTTTCACCCTCTCCCCAGGTTTTTAAATAATCAAAATATGTATCTTAACTGTATGATTATTTTCTCAAACACTGATATTAATATTAATTTTTCTAACAACCAACAATATTTTGTACCATAGTACATTTATAATGTCAAATAAGACTTTGGTAAAAGTAACAGCCTGTGCTATTGAAGTCTGTCCAATAAACCAGTTTTTGCAGGCCCATATCCAGTCGGTTCAGTTTTCGCAGACTCATATCCAGTCAGTTCATTTTTGCCGAACATTTACGCCCCAAATAGCAATCCAGTCTATGGCCCTGGTTCACTACGTTTTTATCTGTTACCTAAAAAGACGAGAACAAAATTATAAAATTGAAAATGATAATCATAGTTAGCTGCCCAGCTACCACATTATACTTAGAAACAATTTAACAAAAAATACATTTATTAAGTGGAATCAAAATTTAATGAATTAATATCAAGAAATATATTATATGATGTCGGAATTGACTTATTTATTATTTATCTTCCATGCCATAAAGCACTAGGCCCCTAGACCACAAGTTTTTAAAAGAATCAGCCCTACTGAGAATGTCTGTACCTTTCATTGTCCATGCTAAATTGCTGTGGATAGTCTCCTCATTATAAAAGTAATTAGGTAATATATAATGTGGCGCTAATGCACCTAAGTACTTCACCAAACACTAACATTGCAAAAGACTAGGCCTAGATAGAAGACCACACAAAAGATGCTCAGCGGAGCAGACAAGTGCCGCCGGTAATTAAACTAAGCTTTAGGGCCAAAGTGAAAAAAATGACCTAGGCCTACCTGGCTTAATTAAGCTAGCCTAAAATTTAACGTACAGATAATAGTATTTACTCTGGTACGCAGTTCTGCACGCTTTATGTCAAATAAAATAAAGCATCGATGTCTTTTTTTTATTGTGCCAAATACGTATAGCCTAGGCTAGGCACAAAACCACTCACCAGCATCACATTCAAACACATGCAAAAAGTTTTCCAGAACAAAAAGTAAACAACCCGCAAGAACCAATTGGGCGTATTCGACTGGTTCATTTCGTTGAGTAATATTTTCATTCGACTGGTTCGTATAAGACTGGTTCGTATTACTTCGTTGACAACGAAAATTAACGCAAACCAGAATTTGCGAAAATACTTATTTACTATATTATATATATCCAACTGTAAAGTATAGTAATACTTCCTCAAAACTTCGTTAACAAAGAAGACAGATTAATAAAATTTTAATTCCTGATTATGGAACAAAAGAACATCAGTGATCCCATGCATGTAAAAAATAAACAAAAATATTTAATTGTTGATCTGTTTCAGGCTCAGCACAAAATAATTTCACTCAATTAAGTACTCATATCATGGACCAGTCCATGCTGATATCACCTTATTTTCTCAAAGCGCCCCTTACTTTTATCCTTGAAAACCCCATTTAATTCTGTTCATCATCCCCCACCTCAAATCCATGACAGCACTCATAATTTCACTACAAAGGTAGTTAGTTGGTCATCTTTGTTTTTTAAATTTCGATTTATTTTTCATACCCCCACCACCCTGCTGGCAACAACTCAGGGGTGGACCTGGGTTAAAATTTAGGAGGGGAGTCAGAAAATGTTTCCAGAAAAAATAAAAAAGGAAGGGGGTCCGGGGTCCACCCCTGCGAAATTTTGATTTCTAGATGGCGGGAAATAGCCTTCCCAACTTCTGGGGTGTCTTTTAATGACGTTTAAGTTCAGGTCAGGTAAATTTTTCTCATTTTCTTATTACAGTAAATATACCAATTATGTGTGTATACATATAGGGAAAAAAAATTGTATTACTTTTTTCAATGAATGGATGAACCCCCAAAATTGGGGGATTGACAAAATTTAATTCCTAGATAATAATAATAATAATAATAAGATTTATTAAGCGCACATCTCCACTAAAGTGCTCAAGGCAGGAAGTTAAAAGTTTACATTTTCCCTTTCTTGAAAACGATTCGATTAATCTCAACTTCTAATTTTCCCATTGTAACAACAAAAATTTCAGCTCACTCACACCCACCCCCCTCCCCACTAAATTTGCCAACATTATTTAAAAATGAAAAATTTATATTCAAATTGAAGTGTGAGAGTGCCATTACTGGCCATCTAGAGGTGCTATAATCATAAATTTTCTTGGTGAGGCTGAGGTGTTATAGACCCTCAATCCGTGGAAATCCTTCCCTTTCCTCCTCTATTTCAAATTCACAGATTCAAGGGAGCCTGTTCCCCTCTATTTTTAAAGATTTAAAAAAATGGGGAAAAAAGAATATGATATTCAAATTGCATGACAGTGCAACTTCCGACCATTTGGAGGTGCCATAATCATAAATTTTCTTCCCTCAGCCCCAACCATGGTGGAGTTAGGTGGTATTTCCTCCATTAGACTTGCCACAAGTCTCTTATTTTTTTATTATCTTTCTCATTCTGGACAGCGTCACCAACGAAAAAGTTAATTTAGAGTCGGAATAAGAAATAATCCGAAAAAAAAGAAACCGAGTATGGGACGCCAATTAAATTGGGTATGGCGCGCACTAAGTGCAATAAAGAGTGAGTAACCCAAAATTAGGGCCTGGACCCAGGCCATCTGTGAAAGTCCCTCCCTGGCCCTCTTCAAATTCCAAGATTTGCCACTGAAAACTGTAGATTCAACTTCAGAAACTGATTAAAAATGCCTGATCTCCACCACCTCGATCCCAGTCCAAGCAAGGTTTCCCACTAGGCGCACCCCCACCCTCCAAAGCCATTTTGGTCCAGTCTCTACAAATTCGCAACCACCCAATAAAAATCCTGCGTACAGGCCTGCAGCAGTGTACCCTACAACATGAGTGGGTTCTTCCACGATAGGGTTAACGTTTCTCCTCCGGAACAACACAGATTGAGATGATGTTGAGTTTTGTAAATTACAAAGTTCTGTGAGTAAGTCACCGTCATTTTTCCCATGAAAAAAAGTTGTGTTCATTTCTTCTGCAAAGATTATCGCATCCTCACTTGAAAATTAGCACAATTTTTTTTCCCGATCAAATTTTGTAAGGCAGATCGTAGCCCTTTGTGAGCCAAAGTTTGCCAACTTGTCAGGGTTCATACTGGGACAACAGAGAAAAATAAGAGAGAGGTACAGTGCATGTAGGAAAAAACAGTGATCTATTACAGTTGAACTTGCCTAAGTCAAATCCAAAAAGGCATTGTAAAATTGTTTCGACTTGGATAAAATTTAGATTTACAGATCATTAATTAACAATTTGGCATGCAAAATAAATAAGGTAGACATAAATTATTTGAGTTAGGCAAAGTAGAGTTAGGAGGCAAGTTTAAGTTTATTTTCTGTCAATATAAACACGGCACAGATTACAAT